AACGGCTAGCATCATTTAGTCAAAAAAGGAACCGTAAACGGATATCTTAAACAAAAAGAAACAGTAAGATCATCATTGGGATTTGGATACCATGCGAAATGTGCAAGAACGCAATACCTGAATTGGAACACCTTTATACAGATCTGAAATGCAATCAGAAAATCGAGAAAGAGAACAATCTAAACAATACAGAACAGTTAGGCCAACAGAACAGTGACATCAGTTGAGGTTGGTGTTGCCCAATCAACAGGAAACATTGCCTAATGGAATGCCGACGGATCGTAACGTTTTGGTGGTTTGGCACGCCGAGCCGAACGTCTGGGAGTCTCGGATGAAAAGGATGAGGCATCGTTATCTTGTGACATGGAACTGGCTATAGAGGCCGTATCGTCCACGTCCATAGAATCATCTTCCTCGACAATCACGACTTCTTGTTTAGACGGTGGACGTGGATGGTGGCGTGTAGAACGACGTGATGAAGCAACCGACATCTCGAACGAGCTGTGACTTGTAGTAATGGTGTGATGGTCATCCTCATGTTCTTTATCGGGCACCAAAGCAGATTCCGTTGAGGACGGTCCACGGCACTCAGCGAGAGTTTTTCGAGGGGACAGGGCATACCTGGTTTCGCCACGCTTCTTTTCTATTTCGAAAGACCACAGGTCAACCGGAAGGCTATTCTTGGTCGGGGAAGAGGTTTCTTGTGGAATCCTGATGGTTGGTGCCAGGAGAAGGAAAAGTTGAAGTATTAATCACATCACACAACACAATACTTAACTGATCGACAGCAACTTCAGCTCTACTCAGGTGACTAAAATACGAAAAAAAGATGTTTGTGTGAAGTGAGTAAACTACTGCGGTTTGCCTATTAGGTTATCGGTTTATACACACTACTAAACAAACAAAGATAGCTTTTACTCTGTTTGAGGCATAACCCGTGATGAGGAACCAAAACAAAATCTGATAGAAAATCCAGTTTTTCTGCGACCAGTATTGCGGATCTGGGACGACTGCACTACAATCGACCTTGTGGAGCTAGTGAATAAGATGCGGTTGTAGCGATTAAAAACAGACTTTATAGCTACCAGTGTGAATGTATGTTGATTGAAGACTGCCAAGCCTCGGTAAATTCTCTGGGGTGTTTTATCGAGGCGAGATGATCTTCAATCAGCTTAATAAACAGGCACACCGAACTGGATCACGTGTGCACACCACTGCAACTCAAGGATCAAATGACGCAAAAAAGGCCACGTCATGACCTGAGAACGGATTGAAAACACAATCAGGACGGAAGGACAAGTACAGGGGAGGTGGCCAGTCAAGAGGCTGTCATACAACACGTAAATTGGAAAAGTAGGCGATGGTGGTGGGAATCGAACACACGTCCTTTGAGGTAATTATTTGGTGACCTTTACCATCGGGCCATCATTCAAACTAGCCGTATTTCTTGAGTCGGTGGGGTCAGTGGCGTAAACAGCAAAGCATCTGACAGCTGAGCGGTTTATGGGAATTTTCGAACTGGCGGCGCCAACGCTCATCGTCCACCAAACCATCCAGAAACTTACGACAGCGCGAGAATCTCCGACTGGAGTATACCTGCCGAATTGCCGGCGTGCGTGGNGAAAAGCGTAACACACCCGAACCGCGCTGAATACCTGAAGCAGACCGAAGTGCGGGCTCAGTTTTCATCCACACTACTTGTCTTTAAAGGCTCCTCTTCTATATTAAATCAGTAATCAGAATAGTATTGAATTTAGGTATACGAGAATCCGTAATGTACT